TGCATGCAGGAGACATAGAAGAGCAGAATAAAAGAGTGTCCCTGTCATGCTTGTCTCAGGGATACAGGCTGTGCAGTGAAAGACCTCCATACACCGACAGAATTTCTATGACTTTTCAGTTGTGGTGAACACTGTTCGTTAATCTGGTCCAGGGTTTGAGTTTCCAAGAGCAGATGAGGCAGGAATCCTGCCAAAAGGAAAGTTCAACTTCTTTGGGCGTTGGGAAGCACGTTGTATGCTGACTCCACTGACTGTAGCAAATGCATTTGCATCTCTTTCAAGCATGTGTAGGAGGGAGGAGCCTCCACCAATTTGTCTGTTTAATTATAGATGTTCTATCCACCTTCCTAATTGCTCCTTCATTAAGAAGTAGCTTGTTGTTTCTTGTTTCCCTAGGAGCTAAAAATAATCAACTTTTGTTTGTTTCTGTAAATATTTTTTTTTGTTTGCCCTTGAGGAGATAATTATTTCTATTGTTGCATGAAGATGGTGGCCAATACAGGAGGAATTAGAGCAGATGGCTGGAAATACTTCCCTTGTAAAAGATATCTAGGGTAATAAAATACCTCCCCTCCTCTTTTGTCTCCTCCTAATACAGGTTCTTTTCTTTCCTCAGGTAGGTGGGGGTTGCGTAGGGCTGTAAATCTTTTCCTGTTGTATTAAACTGAGCAGCTGTCAAGAGTTCACAGCCCGGAAAGTGAGCTCCCTGTATCCATCACTGAAATTACAGTGTTTTTAAATGTGGTGTGGAGTCCTGAGTCTGCAGGGTGGGGAAATTCACACCGTACTCCATCACTTCAAATGTTAACCGTGTCTCTCTGTGGTGACTGAAGACAGGAACACTTGCTCTCCATACGCGCTGGCTAAATGGCGATCTGTCAGCGCCAAGGAAAATGCTGCCCCGTGTGTGTCAGTCTGTCAGAAGTTCGAAACCTGTGGCTGTCGGTGGTTGTACATAGCAGGAAGGATGCTGGGGATGGAACTGATGGTCATCTCAGTGCTGGAGAGGTGTCACGCTCTGTGCCTTAGTGGCTGTATCTAGGGAAGGGATGAAGCTGGCTACTGAAGTTGGGGGAACCTGCCTGACCTCAGTTTGCTTTTCTATGGCTCTGTGTTAAATAAACACAGGCTGGATCCAGAAAATGAGAGCATGGAGCACAGCAGCAAGCAGCATCTGTGCTGCTTAGCTCAACCATTTCTTCGAGGTTTGGTTTTAAAGTTTCTGATTATTTTTTTTCTGATCAGAGGATGCAGCTCTGTGTGCTTTTTATCAGTCACAGAATCACAGAATGGCCTGGGTTGCAAAGGCCCACAGTGCTCATCCAGTTCCAACCCCCTGCTATGTGCAGGGTTGCCAACCAGCAGCCCAGGCTGCCCAGAGCCACATCCAGTCTGGCCTTGAATGCATCCAGTCCTTCTATTATGACTTTACTTAAGTGAACAAATTGAAATGTCACCACAAATTGAGATCAAATGGGCTGCATTCTGCCTAAACAGGAGTTTCTCAACCTTTTAAATCCCAAATGTTACCTTGTATTTTGGTGGAGGGCAGTTAAAGCTCACCAGCGGCTGTGCTGTGCTATTAGAGTGCTTGTAATTCACAACAGTTCAGATCAAAAACTGAAGGTATGACGACTTATGGTCCCTTCTGTTTGTGACTTGTCTGCCAGCCCGTGTTGGAATGCAAACATATCTCTATTTTTTTTCCACTTGTTGCAGTTGCTGCTGCTGTTTGTGGGCCCTGGTAGTCACAAGCTGAGAAATGGGCACTCAGAGCTGGTGTTCCCAAGGCTGACATGCAGGCAACTCAGGGCTGGCTGACAGCAGCAGCAGCCAGCAACAGGAAGTGGAAAGAAATGTGCCTTAGAATGGAAAAACGAGGTGCAGGAGGAAAGCAGAGGATAGTGTGCTGAACTGCAAGGAGCCTGTGCATCTTTTGTTTTATACTACTGAAATATTATTTTATCATTAAATGAGTCATTGTTCGGGAGCTTTGATGGGAAGGGAGCTATTTTGCAGGCTTGGTTATCAGAGCGGGTTTCCTATGGAAAGCAAATGTGAGGGTGCATCCTTCAACATTCTGGAGTCCAGTTTAAAAGCTCAGTTTGTGTTATACATATGTCCTTGGGGAGGACACCAGAAGAGTCTCTTGCCTCAGTCTATCTACTGATCTTGATGGACTCTGCAGGAATACGGCAGCTTTGAGGTCTCGCTGAAAAAACTGATCCTGAACCGAATTGAATGTGGGGCTGGGAACTGTACAGGGCCTTTATCATTAACTGAGAACTTTTTCAGGACAATGTGTGTCACCCTGAACCAACCATTCAGATCAGAATGAAGGCCTGGTTGTATTCAGAGTAGTCTTTGCCTAAATCACCTCTGTGTGTACAAAAAAAGGCAGCTCTGAGGCAGCTCTGAGGATGTATTTCTCACCTGTCCCAGGCTGGGACGGAGCGTGAAGCCACCACCTTGATGCCACAATCAGCTCTGGCCTCATCATTCAGAGCTTCTTTCATTCCAGTTCCTCTTTCTCACGTCCTTGCTTTCTGTCTGCCTGCCATTTGTCATGCTCCATGCTGCAAATGATAAAAGCACGGGAGGAAAGTGCCCACTGCTGGCCACTGGCAGGCAGCTTTCCTGGCTCTGCAGGCTCATTATGCTTCGTTCAACACACACAGGTGGGATGGGCACTCAGCCATCACTCCGGTGCTTGCAGCTGCTGCTGCCCTTCAGTCTTCTGTATAAGTGTTTAAATAACTATAGTTGGATGCTGAGTGCCAAGCAGCGCAAAAGAACTGGAAAAGGAAGCAGTATTGAGTCCATGAAAAATCTAATGGGGAAGGATGTTCTTATCCTGCTCCGCTGTGGGCAGAAGAAGCTGGAATCTCTGCACAATGGAGATGTTTTAGATGTGGTCTTCAACAGATGAAGTGGCTGTCTTACTGTTTTGCCTTTAGAGTCTTAGGTGAGCCAGTATGTCCCAGCAGTCCTGAGAACATGCTCAGGGCAGTTGGACAAGACAAGTGTGATAAGTGAGGAGGATCCCCAAGATCACTGGGACAGACCAGAGCGCGGATTTCCAGAGCTGTGAGTCTGTTACCCACTCTGCTTGATGAGGAATGTACAGTTAGTCTGCGTGTATTTCAGTTTGTATTATTTGACCATGGGCTGCTTAATAGGACCTGCACTGGATGATCTTAGAGGTCTTTTCCAACCATAATCACACAATCACAGAATGGTTGGGTTGGAAGGGACCTCAAGGATCATGAATCTTAAACCCTCTGCCATGTGCAGGGCCACCAACCTCCCCATTTCATAGCAGCCCAGGCTGCCCAGGGCCCCATCCAACCTGGCCTTGAACACCTCCAGGGATGGACGGGGCATCACAGCCTCTCTGGGCAGCTGTTCCAGCACCTCACCACTCTCATAGGAAAGGACTTCCCCCTGACATCCAACCTAAATCTTCCCTCACTCAACTTAAACCATTTCCCCTTGTCCTGCTGTTATCTACCCTTTCAAAGAGTTGATTCCCCTCCTGTCTGTAGGCTCCCTTTAGGTACTGAAGGCTGCCATGAGGTCACCCTGCAGCCTTCTTTCCTCCAGGCTGAACAAGCCCAGCTCCCTCAGCCTGTCTTCATAGTGGAAATGCTCCAGCTCCCTGATCATCTTTGTGGCTCTCCTCTGGACTCTCTCCAACATCCATAGTGATTCTACATTTCTGTAACCACCATTTATCCAAGGCCATAACGAGAGACTGCACTGTCCTCAAAGATCTTCTATAAATATTCTTTCATCTTAGGGAAGGCAGTGGGGCTACAAGAGAAGGGTCACCAAGTAAAAGCTTCAGCTGTCTGGTTTTCCTCCATTGGTCGGATGCCTTCCCTTGATTTCTGTGGAGCTGCTTTCCCAGTAGCCCCTCTACACTCTCTTCTGTGCTGTGGCAATTCTAAGTGCTTTGAGCAAAATCCCTTTTCTCCTTTCAGGCAGGTTCATAGAACCACAGAATGGTTTGAGTTGGAAGGGCCCCTTAAAGTCGCACTCTGTGCACTGAGCAGGGACACCCACAGCTCCATCAGTGCTGTCTGCAGGGAAAGGACACCACCACCTCTCTGGGCAACCTGTGCCACTGCCTCACTACTGTAACTGTAAACAACTTTTTCCTTTTATCCAATCTAAATCTCCCCTCTTTTAGTTTGAAACCATTTCCCTCATCTTATCACAGCAGGCCCTCCTAAAGAGTCTGTCCCCTTGTTTCTTACACCCCCCCTTCAGATACTGACCGGCCACTCTCAGGTCTCCCCAGCACTTTCTCTTCTCCAGGCTGCACAGCCCCAGCTCTCTCAGCCTGTCCTCATAGCAGAGGTGTTCCATCCCAGGGATCATTTTGTGGCCTAGAATAGGCTAGAAAGAGAAACTATCATTCAAAGCAAACAACACTCTTGTTAGACAGCTACCAATCAGGCTATTAAGTCCACGGTGCTAGCAAGAATAACCTGCTGTATTCCTCAGACCCCTGTTCTCCCACTAGTGTTAACTGGGGCATCTGAGCAGCTTGGGAAGTACAGGGGGATGTCAGAGAGACTTCAAGCCATGTTCAGATGAATCCCACTGTTCCATAGCTGTGTCTTGCAGTGTTTTGCTAGTGTTGGTTGAGGTTGGGCCAGATAGGAATTTGTGGCATCTGCAATTCCATGCTACAGCTGAGTTGATAAGCAGCGTGTCTGGGAAATGTGTGCCTTTCTTCCTCTGTTGTAGAATCATGGAATGGCCTGGGTTGAAAAGGACCACAGTGCTCATCCACTTCCAACATCTGCTGTGTGCAGGCTCACCAACCAGCAGACCAGGCTGCCCGGAGCCACATCCAGCCTGGCTCTGGGCAGAGAAAAGAGCTGTTCTTTGTTTTCTGCTGAACTGCTGCTTACAAATGCGAAGGTTTATCCACCTGGGGACCCACAGACGGGAAGAACGAGCTCTGAACCTCTTCCTCTCTTTTCCCTCAGCCCGCCCTCCAGCTGTGCGGTCGCTGGGCCGAGGCTTCCAGCTGGCCCGCTGGCCGCCCGCCGCAAGATGGCGCCAACGTCACGGTGGAAGCGGGCAGGACGCTGCTGCTGGGCGCCGCCACCGCCGTGCTGCACCTGCTGCACCTCAGAGGTCTGAGGGGAACTGGGGGGGGCGAGGGCGGGCTGTGCAAAGGGCTGGGGGAGAATTTAATTCGTATGTATGCATGCAAATGGCATCGTTTATGCTGTTTGGATCCTGGAGCTGGTGGAAAGGCGTGGGAGTGCGGGGAGGGAAACCCAGGGCAAGTTGCAGTTGCATGGGGGAAATGGCTTCAAGCTAAAGGAGGGGAGATTTGAGCTGGATGTAAGGAACAAATTTCTATGATAATGGTTGTGAAGTGCTGGCACAGGTTGCACAGAGAGGCGGCGGTGCCCCATCCCTGCAGACAGCCCAGGGCAAGGCTGGATGAGCACTGATGGAGCTGTGGGTGTCCCTGCTCAGTGGGGCAGGTGGCCTCGAAGGGTCCCTTCCTGCTCAAGCCATTCTATAACACAGGATGCTCATCCCTAAAATTAAGCCCTGGTGGTGAAAGTTGTTGTGCACGTCTTTGGTGTTAAGTGAATGAGTTGTTCTGGTGCAGCTGCTTGCTCAAAGTTAAGCCTGTATGCAAGATTAAGCTGAAGTGAACCTTGACAACGGAAAGAGGCTTTAGGAGCTAGGACTACTCCTCTGATAATAATAATTTAATACTGTAAGGATGTTAAAGGGACTGGTTTTCCACTGAGGTGATAGTGGAAAGTACATATCTGACAGCTATACAGGGATATTATTTTGAAAGATCATTCTACAGAGATAAACTTTAACAGGTTTTATCCATACTGCATGAATATTTCCAATGAAGCTTGAACTTGATCAGTCTAGATTGCCAAGAACTGCAACACTGGGCATCATTCCTGCTGAAAGCAAAGAAACAGGAACACCGAAAAATACACTAACAATTTATGATTGAAAAAGTAAGGAACGCTTTAGTATGATTTTTTCTCTTCTCTGCCCCAATTGAAGATGGTGAAGCTTGGTGTTGCAAGGTGCTTCTTAACCCCAGTGTGATTATGGTGTGAAGTTGAAGAGATAGGTCAGAGGTCAGATTTTCTGAGACTTTTGGCTGGCAATCCACATAGGAATTTGGGAGCTCATCCTCTGTCTTCTCTAAGAAGTGGGTCACAGCCTTGCAGCAGAAGCCTGTTGAGCTTTGGGCCTACTTGAAGGCAGATTTATCACTGAGATAGGGCTGGGGAAACCTTGTTTAAATACAGAATCAAGATATCCTGAGGTCTGTTTGGTGTGAGACCAAGCTGGAGTCATCTTTCCTTACCTTTCTTTAAGTTGCCCACCTCTGGGGAGTTGTTTAGGTTCCTGTATTGATCTAGAGAAACACACATCACCAAAGACATGCTCATCTTAGCTATGATAGATATCCATCTTAAGAAGGATCTCAGTTAGGTGATCCCCTTAGAGTAACAACTCCTGAGTCTCTGAACTTGTCAAATAATTGCCAAGTTTCCCCAGCTGCAAAATGGGCATGACAATAAACCCCAGGCCTGCGGGCGAGTGTAGAAGCGCACTTTGATTGAAGCCTGAGCTGAAGTGTTTCTGTAGCTGGAGCTGGAGAATGGGATTAAATTGTAGTTCTGCTCCCTTTGGCTTTCTTGACTCAGCACCAGGCTTCCTGTGCACTCAACCTGAAACAGACTTTATGGATGAAAAAAGCCTGTAAAGCTACAGAGTCTGCTCTTTTGCAAAGATGCTGTTGCGCCCTGCCCTCCAGGTGGTGTATCCAGCAAACACATCCCAAATATGTAGGCCCACTTCTGGAGATTTCTCATTTTTAAGACGCCACGAAGATTTCGGATACAGTTTGTGTAGGGTGACGTCACGATCGTTTCAACAGTGTAGAAATTGCTTAAAGATAGTTATAACAAGGACATCAGCTGCACGTGCATCTATTGGGTGACCCTGCTTTGGCTTTATTAGCACCCAGACAAATGCATGTAGAGGTATTGGTAGTGACCAGATTGTCTTTACAGAAGATCTGGAGGCTAAAGCAATAGTTTTTAAGCATTTAGGATTAATGTAAGCAGCTGGATCCTGCCCACTACCATGAGGACCACCAGTTTCTGCCTCCCCTGTGACAAGCAGAGCATGGACACGTGATTATCAGCAGTGGAATGTTTAATATCCAGACTGCAAAACTGCTCAGACAATACTGATTGGGGAAGAGATACAGGATAGACAGACTGTAGCTAACTGGTAAATTCAGCAGATTGCAGTTATTGTTGTGATCTCGGCATCACAAGTGTGGTAATATTTATGATAACCCAGGACAGATGGAAATTTCCCTTATGCAGAGCTTCCACTGGAGCAACTAATTTGTCTTGTTGATGCCTCAGACATATTACTACCTTTATCTGAAGTTTTAGTACTGAATTGGACAGCCTCAAGAGAATGCTGGAGACTGGAAAAGCTGGCTGTTCTTCTTCCAGGGTTAGCTTGGCGGTGAGTTCTGGTGCGATGTTGCAGGTATTTTCTGGTGGGGTTGAAGGTCTCAGGCGTTCAGCAATCCATTTGTTTTGCAGTGGCAACCTTGAGATGCCCAGAATTGTAGGAAAAAGGGAAAATGTTACTTCAGTCAATCATAGAATCATAGAATGGTTTGAGTTGGAAGGACCCCTTCAAGGCCATCTGTCCTTGCACTGAGCAGGGACACCCACAGCTCCATCAGTGCTCACAGCCCATCCAGCCTGACCTTGGCTGTCTGCAGGGGCAGAGCACCCACTCTGGGCAATGGGTGCTGCACGCAGACCTGGGGAGGAAGGAAATCTAAATACTGATTTTGCTTGACTTTTTCCTAGGCTTTGATGCTATTAGCAAAAAGCATCAAATATTAGCTGATACATCTGCATGCATACATGTCAGATAAGTAGTGCTTCACTAGTTCTTCAGCTTCAGTGCTGATAAAGACTAGGTATGAATTCACTGAAAGATGGAATAACATCTTTCCTCTGTTTTTCCGTCCTTAAACCTATTTTAAAATCCCTTGTCCGTAGCCAAGGTTAGAAAATATTTTCTCTGTGGTGTTTTCTGTGCCATTTACTCAACCCATTTGGAATATGCATTGTGATAGTTTTTGCAGGCAGTTTCTAGTTCATATTTTCTTTTTTTAATCAGGCAGAGACATTACAATTAAAATACCGTAAAAGCGATTCTGGCAGTATTGCAATAAGCATGTTTTTTAATTAAAGAAAGAACATGGGATGTACAAATAGTACCAGCTAATGGGAAATTTCATCCAATGTATTTTTTAATTGAGATTTAAAAGGAAGAGTAGTCAGCCCTGTTTCTCCCCGCCGCTGTGATATTTTTCTGTGTTGTTACAGTGAGGTGCACCAAATCTGCAAGAATTACAGTCTCAGAACCTTAAAGTCTCTGTTGTTTTGATGGGAAAAAAAAATGCAAGGCATTAGTTCTTTAGAATGTTAGTGCCATTTTAGGAGGAATTCAGTATTATTCATTAGAATTCAAGCCACAGAGTGGGACGTTCCCCAGAGAAAGGATTTTAAGGCCCATCTGTAGCAACTTGAGGGGTTTTTTGGGGGTTCTTTCTCAGCTATAAACCCTGGTTTGTGTTTGGCCACGGGCTGCAGGTCTTCCTTTCCCGTTCTGTTTAGGATGGTATTATAGACAGCACGCACACCAGACTCTCAGGGCTCATGCTTGTTGGTGAAATTGATTTTTTTGCATCTTCAGTAGCTCCTGAGACTCCTCCAAGGTGTTGCAGGAGGAGCGGACTGGAAAAAACTTGTTCTGAGCATGCTGGTCTGGGCTGAAAGCTGTTTTCTGGCATGGAAAGGGAGAATGTATCCCTGTTGGAGAAGTAGATGGTGCTTCTAAGTATAAGATGGAAAGGTCCTGCATCTGTCTGCATCTGCCCTAGATGCTAAGCAGCCCCCCCCCCAATGACACTGTCCCATTAGTAGTTCCATCCTTGCACACCCATATGTAGTACAGAAATATCCCCTGCAGCAGGGATCTAAGCCTTTGGATGTGGCTCTGGGCAGCCTGGTCTGGTGGTTGGCACATAGCAGGGGGTTGAAACTAGATGATCATTGTGGTCTTTTTCAACCCAGGCCATTCTGATGATTTTTAAAGCTCTTAAATGCAAATAAATATCTTCAAAGGCGTAAGTAGGTATTGTAAGCACAGAAGTACTGATGAAGAGTCATGTGTAGCAGGGCACTGCATGAAGATTTCAATTTCACTGTATCTCCTCTTCTTCTGATGGCTTAACAAACTGTGCATTGCGATAGCTCTTCTGTGAGAACAGGCTTCCACTAAGAAGAACAAGTTCCAGCAGCAAATCAGTGATGTGTTTAAATGTAAGTGCCAGAAATCAGCTAGAGATAAGTGTGGGTGGAGTATAGCAAGTGGAAACACTGGTCTGATGGTCACCCAGATAGACCATAATAATAATTCTACTCCCTACAACTGTTCTTTCCCTGATGTCCCCCTCTTTTGCTGAGGGTGGAGGACTCAACAGGTGTCCATCACCTGTAGACTTGAAATAAGAGCCTGAGGACTGATTTTTTTTCTTGCATTTTCGTGCTTAGTGTGATACCTTCTCAAGGCTTACATGACAGCTTAGTCATAAACTCACCAAGGCTGGAACAGACCTCCAAAATCACCCAGTCCAACCATCCGCCTACCACCAGTTCTTCCCCACTAAGCCATGTCCCTTAGTGCCACAGCTAAATGTTTCTTGAACACCTCCAGGGACAGTGAATGACTCCACCACCTCTCAGGTCAGGCCATTCTATCTGAGAGTGCTCAAGCAGCTGCTGGTTCCTCACGCATGGACAGATGAAGGCCTCCATCTAACAAAATGCTGGAATATGTATTTATCTTTGTAGCATTATTGATGTTCTGGTGGAAACACATAGCTGGTTTTGATCTGCACCTGTATATCACGAGAGTGAAGGAACTTATGTACGGAGGTTTGGTCTTGTGGTTCAGGCAGCCTTGGGATGGAGCCAGTAGGACAAACTTCTTCACATCTTGCTTGACACTGGTCCAGCCTGCAGTAAACTGTTATGGCT